AGTGAGTAGACTTCAAAAGGGAAGCTCTCTTCAGTGGTAACCAGTGGGTTGTTGCCTCTAGATCCTTCGATGTTCAATCAAACACCTTTAGAACCTCACCAATCCTTCCATTTCCGATTGAAATCTCTCCCTTACGCTCTCTGCTATGCTTCACGTTTGACGTCTGCAAAGGGGGGCATTGGGGGCTATGGGGGCCTTCACCTGTCGCCAGACATTAGATGTCGACTCATTCCGCCCAAAGGATGTTGTCGCTGCAGCACCTGTCAGTTTTCATTGCCACGAAGCGCTGATTAAAAGACGCTTCCGCAGTTTTCGAAAACAAAAACGCACCACGACGCATATCCCGCCGCAGAGGAAGTTGCGATTCCCCTGGAAGGATCCCAATCCAAACACACACAAACGGCCATTAGCCTTCGCGGTGGAGCTGGAGGACACGACACGGAGCTTCGCGATGGAGTGCAGAGCCCTCATGCCTGAGCACTGGAGAGTGCAGGCCCAAGCAGCCTTCGCGGTGGAGTACAGGACAAGCAGCCTTCGCGGTGGAGTGGAGCCCCAAGCAGCCTTCGCGATGGAGTGGCAGCACAGCCTTCGAGTTTGAGTTCAGGGCAAGCCAAAGGGCCAACTAAACAGACGTCAAAATCATTGCCATTACCCAAAAGGATGGGCTCCTGCCCAGGACACGCAAGAGGCAGGGCAGGGGGTCCGCAGGACACACACAATCATCCTAGCAAACAATAGGAAAGACGACCGACCACCATAGCCGTCGCGCGCGCCATCGCATGGCCGGCATCCACTTGGCCAAGTGTGGTGGTCAACAGTCCCGCCTTAACCCGTCAGCCACATGCCTGGTCGCGGGCAAAAAAAAAATACCAGAAAATACCAGAGTGGGTGGGGCCATGGGGCATGGGGCATGGGGCGCCATGGGATGTGGAAAAGCGTCGCCGGTTCAAGCTCAAGTAGCTTGTGTGCCATTCTTTTCTTTTTTGTTTTGTGACGTTTTTGTTTCGGGGAAACTTTTGCTCTATTTCCGCCATCCTAGCCGTCGCGCTGCTGCTGCTGCTGCTGTCTGGCTGACGTTTTAGCGCGCGGGTCGTTAGCGGTGCGGCAAGGAGGGCAAGGATGTCCTGTAAGTGAGGAGCAGGAGCAGGAGGTGGAGGTGGAGGTGGAGTCGCCAATGCGGTTGTCAGTTGCTTTATGAGACGCCTCCGCCGTCACCGTCGCCGCCACCGTCGCCGCCTCTGCCTGTCGTTCATCCTGTGGGGGTCCCTTTGTGTGTGTCCTGGCATTTTGCATGCAAAGCGAAAATGTTGTCGCTGTTTAATGTCAAACGTTGGCTTTTTTTTTGGCCCAGGTTTCATCGCGCCACCAACCAGCAGCAGGACACATTTTCATGCCCATTGCGTGGCAGGACAGCAGGACAGCAGGAAAGCATCTGCTGGATTGTCCCGCTCTCTGTCTTGATGGATTTGTCTGGTCTAAGCCTCAATTGGTGGTCACTTGAAGCTGGTGGGGAAGGAAGTCCTTCAGACAGGCGGCGACGTTGGCAATTGCATTGAATTGCCCCGAAATGATAGCGAATATAAGCTTCAGATTTGAAGCGGCTTAAGTGGTTTTTAATAGAGGTTGAAGGGGTGGGATAGAAGATATTTTGACATTCTTTCATTTGGTTAAGGGATATTAAAAGAATCTTATAGAACAATATTATATTTATGGAAAAATTATATTTTTTAGGTGTTACAAAAACTCTTTGGATTGGGGAAAATTCCTGCGCATTTTTCAAAGATTAATCCTATAAGAGAGGGTTTTTTACCCTCAATTCCTGCACAGTTTGTCATTCCTCCAAAAAAAGTCCACCCATACATAGCTTTCAAAACGTATATTCAAGCATTTTTCTTGTATATTTTTACCCATCAAAATACATTCTTTCAGTATTTTTTATACTCTATTTTCTATATGCTATTTCTATATCCAATTTTCTCTTCATTTTTCAATCCATATTTCCATAGATTTCGTTTGAGCTCTGCGGCGTCTGAATTATTTATAACAAATACAAAGAAAAGCACATTGGATGTGTTTTTATTTTCGGGTGGACGCTACTATGGATGGTTGGAGGGAGTATATCCTTGTTTTTGCTGGTTTATCTGGGAACCAGGCAGCGGGATGCCAGGCAGGATTATGCACGCCCCCCGCCCCCATTTGTGAGAGAGGCCGTACAATAGAGGGGGATAGAATGCCGCCGCGAGCAGAGCGGAACGGAAAATAAAGAATATTCAGAACAAAGAATATTCCTCCACGGTACAAATGACAAGCTCAAATGGCTACAAAAATTTGCTTTTGTTTTCTTTTGCAATCATATTATATTTATGCATTCACTGGGCTTTCACGTGTGTGTGTGTGTGTGTGTCCATGTTTTTTCTAGATGCTTTTCGCTATTGCTATCTCTCTTTTGGTATGCATTTCCTGTCTTTATATTTCTATAGAGCTTTCGTACTTGGAGCTTTGTACAAATGTTCCCATAAGCGAAGAGATACATTTAATTTTGTTTAAATCTATATAATTTGGATTTTTAGTTGAATATCGAATGGAAATATTCGATTTAAGTGGAAAATAATGTAGCCAGTATTTTTTCAAGGAATACCGCAATAAAAATCAGCTGTTTTAAATGGAATGTTGCCAGTCACACGTGAACGTAGAGTCTAACACTCTTGTGGAAACAATATCCTATGCAGAATTCAAATATTTTGTTCTTGAAAATATGCTTTCTACAACTCACTTTTCACTCGTTCCTTCTAGCTATTGAAGCTCCACTTTCACTTGCTCTCCTTCGCTACCTTTCTTATCTTGTAAGATTTACTTTCTTTTCCTCCTTCTCTCTCTCTCTCTCTCTCTCGTCTTCAAACCACACACACGTCACCCCCCTGGGTATGCTATGATTTTTATGCCCCTCCCCGCCCCTCCTATTAGATTCTAACAGAAAGATGGACATTTTCTAACCGCCATTCCTCGTGCCTAATGCTCTCGTTTTGGGTTAATCAAGGCTACAGATTTTAATTCTCTATCCACAGATTTATTTGTTTTTTTTTTTTCTGGGGTTTTTATTTCCTTAATGAGAGTGTCGTCGTCGTTTGTTTGCGATTTCATTTGGTTTATTTACTCTCTGGGTATACACCCCCCTCCCGTCCGGCCACCACCCCCCCTCACACAATTTGCTTGCATATTTTTCGACAACGGGACATTTGGTTCGGGTTCGGATTCGGATTCGGTCTCTGCTGTTTTTTGCTGTGTGCCGTTAAAATGTTTTAATATGTAAGTAATATGTGCAGATATATCATCCCATATCCCATATCCCATATAGGATATATGTATACGGCGCATGAGGAGGTGGTGCCACATATCAACGCCGTGGCCCAACCCCATGGAAAAAACACAACAAAAAAACTTCAACTTTTATTATTACATTTTTTTTTTCTGCGGCCACATGCACGTGTGTGTGTGTGTGTGTCTACGCTTGTGTTACGCCCTTTTTTCGGACAGTGCATTTTTAATATAATTTTTACAGCCCCATTCTCCATTCTCCATCTCCATATCGTTTCCCCTCTCACTTCCTCTTTGCGCCCTCCATTTCTCCATCCAATTTTTTTCCAGATTTTTCTTTCTTTTTTTTCCTGCATTTTTTTGCTGTCCCCTTCCCATCCCGCCCCCATTTTGCAACCTTGTTTGCAGTGGGCGTGTATGTATACATTTTTCTCTGTTCTCATATATACATATATATTTTTTGCTGTTTGTATTTTTTGTTGTTTCTGTGTGCTGTCCGTGTCCGGAGATTCTTTTTTGGGGGTTGGTCTCTGCCCATTGGCAAGTGTCCGGTTTGCAGGTGGCCCGTGGACCGTCGCTCGACGTTGCCGCTGCCGCTGCCGTTGCATATGCGAATTGTGTTTTTTTGCAACGCTTTTTTCTGTCCCTTTTTTTTCGCTTTTATTTGTATTTTTTTTTTTTGTTTAATTTTTAAAAGGGGGAGTGCAAGTGGTTCTGGGTGTGACATGGGGTGGGAGCACGTAATAAGCAGGCGACGTTGTCACGCATAGCGTCCGCCCAGCGGGGGAGGAGGGGGGGGGAGTCCCATCCAGAATGCTGGGGGGGTCCGGGAGGATATTCCTTCTACGAGAATGGGGGATCCAGGGGATATACCACACAGACTGGGTGTGGCAGGGGGATATTCCATACAGATATAACGGAGGATAAGGGGGATATCCCATATAAAGTGGCCATGGGGCCATGGAAGGTGTTTTTCCCAGTAAACAGGACCCCAACAATAAAAAAAAATCATATATGTTTTTTTTTGTGCCCCGTAAGCAAAAAAGTATTTTGAAATGAATTTTTATATATATATGCGACTACCGGTTGGGGGAGGGGGGACTGGTCATATATTGTTTTTTAGCGTATTTTAATTAATTAAAAATATAAATTAAAAATTGCATAATATTTTAATTGAAAATAGAGATGGGGGGAAAAGTGGGAAGGAGTGAACAGATACAAAAAGGAAACAGTAGATGAATTCAGAGAGAAGAGGGGGGGAAAGAGCGGAGTAGAGGTGGGAGATTATATCTGGTCAGACCTCTGGCGAGACGGTTAATCTTTTTTGGTATTCTAAAAGGGGCTCAAACAAGCCAAGCCCGTCCCTTAACACATTCCACAAAGAAAGGTTGGGCCAAAGATCCATCTTTACAGAAAATATCCATCTTTTATACGGGAGAGTCCTCAAATTTCCATCAAATTTGATTGAAAGTTATAGAAAAAGATTCAGATGGTAATTTCTTAGCGGAAATCCATCTTCCAGGGGTAGATAATTCTTCAGATCTGAGTTATTTAAATAAACTTAAACCCGAAAACCAGCAAATATCCATTCATTTCTCCAAAACACACTCTTAAGATTTTCCACAAAATTCCCTCTACCATAAAATCAATCTTCAACCCAAAAACCACTCAAAAAAACCACAAACTACCTTGATTCATTTTTTAATAATCACAAAACTTAAGAGTAAAACCTTAAAATGTAACCTTATATCACAAGACAGCTCCAACCTTCGATTCAGCAACCAGCAACGAAACCCAAACCCCACTGCAACCTTCGGGGAGGACGGAGGCGCCCTGTTTTAGCCAGGCCTCACCGCAAAGTAGGGCTGCTCTTCGCTGGGACACACGGTGCTCTCGAACAGCCCTGGAATGGTGAAGGGTCGCGGCTTGCGATCGTCGGGGAGGAGCATGCTGTTCCACAGCATGTTCGAGATGATGGCATGCCCCCGCTGACTGAAGTGGAAGCAGTCGTGGGAGAAGAAGCGCCAATCGGTGAGGCCGTTCTTCAGCCTTGGAGCCGTGATATTGGCCAGCATGGGATGCGCCACAACGGCAAAGTCCTCGCGGTGGAACTCTGCCAGACGGGCCACCTCCAGATCCACCTGCTGCCAGCGCTGCAGGGTGTCCATGAGTTGGCTTTGCTGCGTCCGATTCAGGCGATCATTCATCAAGCAGTGGCAGCCCACGCGGTGCACCACAAAGCACTGGAAGGGTATCTGCTTCATGGCCTTCAGGGTGAGGAGTATATTCGGCACCACGATCAGATTGATGAGCAAACGGGGCACATTGTCCCGCAGGAGGCGAAAGGCCTGTCGCAGATCTCTGGCATGTTGGTCGAGCAGCGCCTGCGGCTCATCCCAGTGGCACATGTCCGAGCAGAGGTCGTTATTTCCCACATAGACTGTCAGCAGCTTCCAGTGCCGCTGCATATCCACATTCGGATCGCGGTGCAGCAGATCGATGAGGACCCGGGCCTGGAAGGGCAAGTCCCTCGACATGATCATGGGCTCGGCAATGTTGAAGCGTGAGGATGGGTGATTGACCACCAAACTATTGGCCACCGAAAAGCCATACAATTTCGGATTGAATATCTTCAGGATATTCGGGAGCGTCACATACTTGCGCCAGTTCTCCAAGCCGCCACCGGAGAAGCTCAAGGCACGAAATTCATTGAGCATATCCGCGATATTATTCGATAGAATGCCATTTCCCGCCGATAGCGAGTCGCCGAAGGCGGCTATGATATCGATATCTCCAGGGCGCAGCCTCTCCACCGATGTGGGCGGACTCTCGGATCTCGTGTTGTTCACTGGACATGGAAATGGCTTCCTCTTGGAGATGGGTAGCTGTATCTTTCCCTCGCGAATATTTCGATTCGTTAGGTCCTCGATATTTCGCAGTGCAAAATTCAACAAAACTCGTCGCGTGCCCACGAATAAATGCCGTAGATCTCTGTCGATGGTCGTGTACTGTTGTAGACCATTGTCCAGTTTTCTTGGATCGTACCTCTGCGCATGGACTCCTATGTCCGCTAGGAGTCGGTCGGAGCGATTCTCTCCTCGGATTCGTCGGCTGTTCGATGTTGAAATTGGACTCATCAAAAGCAGCAATGAGAGCAACCACAAAAAGCAGCCGATATTTGACATTTTGAGGGCGATTTTTGAGGATTTCGGAGCGTGATTTTATTTGGGGATCGTTTTAGTTTTGAGAGATAATACTTTTCGGATTTTAGATCTTTGCAGATCGCATTGGATGTGGATCGTATTAAACTTTGTTCTCTATCATCCACTAAAATATATTTAAAATTATGTTGTGGATCGCGTCGTGGACCGTATTGTGGAACGTATTTGGGAAAGTTTGCAGAACAGATAAATGTTTCACATTAAAAGGTCTGGAATTCTCTTTGCAGATGTGTCTGGAACTTCTGCTCATTAAGAACTTTAAACTTAAGTTTTCAGTTGCAGATAGAACTCTGTTCATAAGAATCCACTCTGAGAATCTTAAGACCAACTTCGTTGGGGATCTTTTCGGTAGAAATTAGATCATTATAATCCACTTTAAGCACTCTTTTAGTCTCATTAACATGGTTTGCTTTATTAAATTTCTTTAGAAGAAATAAAACCCATTTTAAAAACTCGTAAGAAACTTTAGTTCTTTTAAGCACTTTCCACAGAAATTACACCAAAAATTCGCTGACGATGCAATCACTTTTGTCTGTTCCTTGGGGTTCCCTTAAGGGTTTTGCTTCAAGACTTTCTGCGTTTCACTGTTGTTCCGCATCCCACCCGATGGACTTCTGAACGCGTTCTCATCCACAGAGCGTATGCGTCGAGCGTTTTTGTACACCGCATAAATTGTTTCTGAACATGGAAACAGACTCCACTCGAAAAACTTCACTCAGACAAAGAGAGAGGGGTACAGAGGGGTACAGAGGGGTACACAGAGCGGGACTGGATCAGAACTTGACTTAAAAGCGTTGACCGAGACATTAACAATCATAAAGCAACAACAACAACAGCGCCTGATAGCAGCACTCACACACAGGCACACACACAGGCACACACACAGGCACAAAGTGCCCTCTGGGGTTCAAAGATAAAACCACACAGAAAACCTCCGAAAAAAAATACAGTTTACTAAACAAAATAATTACCTTGGTGGCAGGCAGGCAGGCAAAAACATTGGATGCTACTGCCACCAGAAGCAACATGACAACGTACACTTATATTTCTATATAAAACAATAAATATTAATAAATTGGAGCTCCACAACGGGCGAAGCGCACGCACGCATGCGCAGAGGCGTAGACTTTGAGCTCATCCCAAAAGGGGGCTTGGGTTTTATCCCCATTTAGGTGGGTTATTGGGTCAAGCGAATTTCGTGGATGATCTATAAAGAGAGCGCATTAAAAGGGGTTAATGGTTCCCAAATGATCTTTGAGAAACCCTGTTTAGGGGTGGTTCCCCCTACGAGTCAGAAATTAGTCAAAATTGCAATTACTTTCCATTTTTAAGGTTTAGTTTCAAAGATTTAAGAATAGATTTGAACTGTGACTTGTTTTTAGGTAGAGAATAAAGTTCTTTAAGAGCTTTTTAGAGAATTTTCGTATTAGAAACATCATATATCATGACTTTAATTCAAAAAATCCCCCTTTTACCCTTTAAAAGAATATTAAATGGTTTGTATATTATAGTTTTAATTACAGAAATCACCCCAAGAAATCTTGCATCATAGTTTTTAGCATAAATATACCCCTGTTACCCACTGCCCACGCCACTGTTTTGCTCTTTGGAGCCATCTACCGCATTAGATTTGATCTTCTTTGAAGCCTAGATTTGTGAATGGTTTGGATATAATAGTTTTGATCACAGAAATCAACCCAAAAATGTCATATATCATAGTTTTCAGCACAAAGACCCCCCTTTTAATATTCCGCACGCCTCTGGTGGAGATACCACCATCTACCGCCTTAGATCTCATCTCCATTCAAGCCAAAAAACAAAACCTGCCAAATATTTGCACACATTTGGGGCTTTGCTTTGACTAAAGCTACAGTTTTCTAATGTAATTGTTGCTTACTCGCACTCATGGCCTGCAATGTGAATAGCTAATTGTTTGCTTAGATCTTTCAAGAGAGATAGATTCACTCTTGAGAGATACACTTGAGACGGTCGCCCGTCGGGGTATGGGTATAGCATCCGTTTTTGGCTCGAACTTGATAGCGGTTATTGCCCGGGAAGATAATTGAAATAAAATATTATTCACTAAAGTGATCTATAAATATATGACTCAACGGCAGCGGAGCTCTTGTTTTTGTTTTTGTTTTTGTATTTCTAGGCGTGTCATATGAAGGCTGAAGTAAATATACCCTGCGGCTGCTGCGACTCCTCCGACCGTCAGAGAAGCCGCAGAGGGGCCCGTGAGCGTGATGGAATTTCGTGTTTATGGATTCGCGACTTCCGCTTGGGTCCCCCAGTCTCCCCCCCTCCCTGGGTAACGGGTTCTGGGAAGCGTTGCCGGCCTTTTATTGTTGGGGCAGATCAAGTGCCGCAGAGTGCGTCTGGGGCGACGCCTTTATAGCAATGAGACCCTCCACAAGGCATGGAACCCTCACAAAAAAAGAGCTACTCAATGGAAAAACACTCATTGGCAGGTTTCAAGAGCTGTGCGTCATGGAAAGGAGCTCTTAAATTACCCATAAGCTAATGGAAATGATCAGGAGCACGTCATATCAATCTTAATTAAAAAGATAATGATGGTTTTACCATAAATTGTGTATCGTATTCCACAGGAACAGGTCATTCTTTCAATTAAAATATCATGCTTTGGCTTCAATGTTCATCCGAAAATATTCTAAATTACTTGTGGAGTTTGATCTTCTAAGAATTTCGACCTCTGATCCTGAGGTACAGTCGGGCCTCTCTATATTGCTTCCGCTACATAAAAAACAAAGCGACACAAACACTCGACGTGGCACTTCTACTTCTACTATTGTTGGTATTTACACGAGTTCTGTGTTTGTTTTATATAACATGTCTAAGGTACAAGTACTTGTCTCAACTCACATGATTGTTTAGCTAAAACGGCTATTCGTAGAGAGGAAATGACGCTTGTCACTAGAGTGTTAAAGTGTTGTTCTAAAGAAATAAAGCAAACAGCGAGCCTTAGCCAAGAGAGTAGGGATGGAAAAAAGTAGCAATAAGCGGGTTTACAGTTTCGATATTTCGTAAAAGTAATACAAATAAAATAGTTAAATACTTAGGACGATTATTCATCAAATATTCGATACACAAAGGAAAAAATAGCTTGCTAAATCGATTAACGATACATTTTACAATATTATCAAAATACCGATATGAACCGAGACTCTATTTCTTCTTTAAATGTATGCATAATAAAAGATCTCACAAAATATTCGTTTTTACGGATTGCAAAACATTAAACCAATAATAAGAGATACATATAATATATACACAAAATAATCCTCGTAGGTATTGAAAAATAATATATATCGCCTATCGATATAATCTAAAGGCAATGATTTATAGTATATAATATAATAATAATATATCTACAAAATACGGATAATTTATCGATATAATGAGATACACCATTGAACCACCAGGATATACAAGATCTAAAAGTATTTTTGGTATACATATTTAAGAGAAATTCCTCTAGCAGCCTGGAAACCTTTTTCACAGTCATTAGAAGACAAAGGCGTATGTAAAATACGGAAAACTTAGTCATCAGAAACTATTCCAGTTTGGAAAATAATTTATAAAGGCTGTAACCTTTTGCTACGAAATCAAGTCATTAAATACAAAATTCCGGGAATTAGCTTAAGCCCCAGGCGGTCTAAGACATTCATCGTTTAACTCAGGCATTGATTAAGCTTAGTATAAAAATTGAATATCAATTATCACATACAATATCTGAGAGGAGAGGAGAAGAGAACTGGACAGAGGGAACTTTTATAGCATGACAATAATTTGTATGCGAAATGCCCTTTTATACGGCTCTATCGAGGGGAGTGAATTATTATGCATAAATTACCGTTCCAACAGCAATTACGGTTCAAAGTTCGCTCATTTAAAGAATATTAATATCCCGCAAGTGATAGTCGGGGGAATAAATAGCGGCTTTAATCGCAGCGGGTGTCTGATCTATATTCATTCATCTAGTTTCTCCCCCTTTCCGCCGACTGTCAAATGAGTCTCAATTAAATAAATGCCACTCTCTGAATGGAGTTGTTGTCTCCACTGTCTGCGATGTCGATCAAAATGCCGCAGTTTCGTTTCATTTAAGCCTAATTGAGGGATCATTAAGAGGATTGCCACTGTACACATGTTTCGCTGTAGCTGCGGTTGTGGCTGTGGCATCGAGCAACATTGTTGCCAAGCTTTTTGTTGCTAGGGCACAAAAGCTTAAATTGATTGTATTTTAATGCTAATTTGGGTTTAATTAGCATACAATCTGGTTACCAGGCGGATCGTCAGCTTCTGGTGATAGGCTCCGTGTTTGTCCAAGAAATAAACACCATATTTTGGGGCAGTTTTTGGCCTGATTTAAGAGAGTTTTTGGTGAAAGCTTTCAAGAGAGACTTTAAAGAGAGGCTTGAGACACAAATGAAGCGCGAAAAAAGCTTCAAAATGTTGCCAGATCGCTTGAAGAGCGGGAAAAATTATTTTAAAGGGTTTTAAAATGATGTTAAATACGACATCAAAGCACTTTCAAAATGTGTAAAATGTATCTAATTATTTTTTATTTCAATTATTGTGTATATACATATATTTTTTAGTGTTTTTTTCATAATTTTAAATGAGTTTTCAATGTTTTTATATTCTATTTATATTACGAAAATGCCCAGCTTATAAGTTTTCGATATAATTTCGATATTTCTTTGACATATTTAATCAACTTTAAGCCCTACTTAATTTTTTCACATTAAATCTCTTCGCTATAAAACATCAACATTTTCCTCATTCGCGTACAATTGGCAAATCCGTGGGTAAAAAAAACCTTGAACTATAACTAAAAATCCCTCACAAATGTCAACAATTATACAGAAATAATTCCACAAAAGTTTCCAAACAAAAAACCGGAGCGTTAGTTATTGTTCAAAGCCTGAAAAAAATGTTGTACTATTACACAAATTTATTTACCCAATGCGGCTTTTAATTGCAGTTTAATTATTGTAATATTGCGATTTATCAGCGGCGGGAAAACAAGAATGCAGAAGAGAGACTGAGAGGAAAAACGTGTCAGTTGGGGGAAATTGGCTGGTAATTTATATATTTTTGTACATGCCATATAATCGACAAATGATGGAAGATAAGGCGCAGGGCGTTGTCATAATAATAATAAAATAAAATAAAATAATTGTATTTCTTTCTGCCCATTTTTTTTAATCGAATTTTATTTGCTTAATAATCGTAATGCAGGCAATTGAAAGACAGACTGCGCGTCGGGGGCAGGGCACAACAAACCCATAAATTATTACAAAACTCCTATAACCTCGCGCTGCAATTGCCAAGCGCGAGAGAGAGAGAGAGAGAGAGAAGGGGTAAAGAGAGCAGCGTAGTGGGAAAAGAGAGACAGACAGAGAGAGGAGCATAGAGAGAGAGATAGAGATAGAGGTATTTGGATGAGCTGGAAAAATACAGACCACAGACAGAGGAGACCACGAGGCAAAAGTTGCATTTTCATTTTGCATAGACAAATGTATTTTATTTATAAAGAAAAACCGAATATTCAATACTCTTTATATTGAATTAATATTTTTCTAGGTTTTTAAAGAAATTTGTAATTGAATTTCGTTTAACTTTCATTTTTTGTGACTGTAGATATTTTTGGATCATGATGAATTTTGGTATATGGTTAGCTAGTGGCATTATTCATAGTTCCATGAAATTAGAGCGCTTTGTATTCGAAATTGTAGACGCTATAAACTTTTTCACCAGCCGCGATGGTCATATATTTTCCTAAAAGACTTATCCGATTACGAAGAATTTTTTTATATTGGTGGATATATATTATTATTCCAAAAATGATCACCATATCCATAAAAAACATACAATATATCCCTATATTTCATAATTTTCTGCTATATTCTGCTCAAGTATGATCCCCAATCAAAGCACCTGGCAAATTAAGTATGCCCCAAGGTAAAGGGCATGCCACCAAAGACCCTAAAGAGCGTTCCACCGTTGCGCTACATCGCAGAGGGCAAGACTGGAGCGGGGAAACTAGTTAACAATTGCACAACCCCGCCAGTAGCAGCAGCAGCAGCAACAACAACAAGGTTTGCGACATTTTGGTGAGCGTTTAAGCCAGGAAAAAATTAAACGTTGCCATTTGTAGACGGGTCTGCCCTGATCAATAACCCAAGAAAGAGCGGAATCCCAGAGATAGGGAGAGGGAGAGAGAGAGAGAGGGCCGCCCCAGAGGCAAGCGGCAGAGCAGAAGAGGCAACAGGTGGAACACCAGGCAAGTGGTCAATGCGTTCAACATACCCTAAGTGGGTTAATTTGTCTGTCTGTCCGTGTGTCTGCCTGTCCGGTCCGACTGACAGAGCCGACTCTCTGTGATAACAAACATCGACACGGCCGAAGGCAGGCAGCGGCGTGCAAGCTCCAGAGACGCCATAAACCAAAAGCCAGGCCCAAAAGTCAGGCCAAGACGAAGAGCCAAGCAGCCAAGAGCCAAGCAGGCAAGTGCCAAGCGACGCGGCGCGGCGCGACGCCTTGGGGCTCTTGCGCAGTCGCAGCCGTCGCAGCAGCAGCGTCAAGGTCGCCTATTGTAAAAGAAAGCGCCATCGAATGGCCTTGAACACGAAAAAAAAAAAACGAAGTCATATGGTTATAAGCCAATGGCTAAATGGTGAATGAAGAAGCAGTCGAAGAAGCAGACAAAACGTCAGCTAAAAAAAGATGATTTCGGGCTTCGGGATGAGGGAAAATCGAAAGACATGAACCCCAGACTTTGGATATGCTCTCTTTTGTTTCAAACCCCGAAAACCCATCGAAACATCCAACAAATGTGAGCAAACAAGCGTGTCTCTTTTGAAGTGCCATAAACTTTATGCTTTTGTAAGACAATGAATGAAAGACAAAGACCCCGACGAAGACCCCAAAGAGCCGAATGAGCCAAATGTTTCAAACGTATTTATTTGCAAAAAAAAAAAAACACTTGTGCAAGAGGGCGACAGCATCTCCAAACAAACCTGGTCAAAAATGTGTTAAATTGGGGTTAAATGGTTGGCAAATGGGGTAATTGTATGGAGATTTAAATCAGAAATTTGCCCGGGCTCTCAGACCTGGGATTCGATTCGAATCGATGGGGAAAGAAAGGTAGTTTTGCACAAGTCTTTAAATCAAATGAGAGTGTTAGACTTCGGCCTTGGGTAGATACGGGAAAAGATAACCAAAAGTCGGGGCTCTTTCGTAGATGTTTTTCGTGTTCACTTTTAACCCTCAGAGTTTAAAGTTTTGCAGTTTTAAAGACCCCGAAAAAACTTATAGATTGTACTTTGTTCTTGTTTTATGGTAACTTTACGACAGTTATGCTCTCGAAGATCGGACTCCCAATCGTTTTAGATCCCCAAAATATAAAACCAAGCCAAACACATACACCCCCCCTTCCTTCTCCAGAACATAATGGATTCCACCCCAAAACGGCGTCTTATTTCCATTATTATTTTCTTTAGACATTTAAACATTTTTATAGACCCCAAAAAACACTCTCCACACGGAAGTGTTTAGCCTCAAAAGAATTCTTCTGAAAGTCTGCCTCTAAAGAGTTATAGTTATAAAGAACACGCTATTTTCTCAACTTTTGGACATCCGAGATCACGGGAGATCAGGTGGACAGGGTTCAAAGGTTAACCAAGCGTTGCTATGAAGCCGTCTAATGATTCTCTCCATAAAGTCTGTAATTTCCGTAGTCCAATTAACACGATAATCGGCCATTAGCAACAAAAACAAACAAACTATTTGCATGTTGTAATTTAGATCATGAGAAAACATGCAATGTTTTTGGAAAAAATACTTGAAAAAAACCAGGAAATCTATAACTGAATTCTTTTAATTATTAATGGAATGATGAATGATGAAACAATGATTTCCGAAATCAATGAAACAATTGAAGCCTTTTATATAAGGCATAATGAAATGCGCAATTAGTTGACGTCTTTGATAAAAATGAGAGACTCACCGCAGAATAATAATTGTTATAATTATAGAAAACAGTTGTATTTAAGACACATTTACATACCTGCAACGAGAGAGAGAGAGAAAAAGTGTTTAAAGATAAGAATTAAATCGATTAATTATTTCTTGCGGAACTGGTTCCAGTCGCACATGAGAATTAGTACGAGTACGAGTAGAATCCATTAATATGGATGACTAAAAACCAAGACTTCCAGCGACTACAACAAAGTGGCTGAAAATGTTAGGAAAAATACCAGTATTTATACTATAGAGTGCGGAGAGGGTTTTCCTTTCTGAAACGATCTCTACGATGAAGACTTAGATCCTTCTTTATCAATTACATTTTATTATAGATTAATGGCACATTTTTCGCTTTGAAGACATAAATCAACAAAGTTTTATGGTAATTATAGTCAGAAGGTCTTTCTGCGTTATATTGGATACTTTTTATACCCGATACTCAAAATGAGTATTGGGGTATATTAGATTTGTTTCATCTTATTTCAAGCGTATATCTTAAAACAAAGACCATTTAGCACTATTTTGTTGGAGACTGAAAGGTTTTGAATTTATTTGTTATTTTTAATTAGGTAACGCAATTGATTATATGAAACATTTTACATACATACATTTTACATACATTTACACATACATTTTCCATTTCAAAAACGCTTATCCATAAATAATATTAAACAATATGGTAGGATAAACTATCTTATATGGGATCTTCTTCTCTCCCCTTAAATTCCCCGAGCATATAGATAAAATTAAGAAGAGTAAAAAATCTCGTAATATTTAACAATAATTTACCATTTTTCTATTTATTTGCTGATTGTTTTTTATGAAAGTTCATTCAATAACTGACAGATAGCACTTGGGTTTTTGCCTAAAAGTTATTCTATTACTCAAGATATACCCCTTTTTTATTCCCCCCTTAAATGACAAATGATTTCCCCTCCAAAAACTGTGCAATCAAGTAAATCTAGTCATATCTCTCGTACATTACAAAATAACCTGCCAATAGAAGAAATAAAAATCGGCTAAAGAAAAAAAGTTCCCCAGACACACGCAGAGAAAAAATAAAAAAGAAGTAAAAAAAAAAGTGCTGTGTTGTGCCGCATTAAAAATTTCATTTCAGAGACAATCTATCTTCTGGGTTTTTTTTTTGCATTTTATTCAACTTTTTTTTGTCGTTGGGCTTCGAAAAGAAAAAAAGCGCCACCGCCCGACGGTCGACGATCGACGATCGGGCGTCTGGTCTGGTCTGAAAGCTCAAAAGTCAGGCGCTTAAAGTCAAGCTTGCGAGTGCGCGATCCGTCGGCGGTTTGCTTCAGTCGTCAACCGGAGCTTGCGAGCAGCACTTGGGGCCAAGTGGAATCGCGCGAGTAACCGCCGAAGTGAAAAGAAAAACGGAAAAGGCCAGGCCGAGCAGCACTCTTGAGACGCAAACACACAAAAACAAAAATCAAGCGAAAAAGCGAAAAGCCAAAAATTGCAACACAAAAAGCGCGCGTGCGCAACAAACAAAACACCAAAAAACAAGAGTTAGAAGGAGAGAAATAGAAGAAAAATCACTCGCTGAATACGGTACGAAATTTAGCAAGATTATTGTTGGAATGTTGGTTTATTCATGATTTTCGAGTGGAATAAACGTTTTTTAGTGTGGAAATCATGAATTTAAGCCAAGAATATGTTGAAATAAATGAAAACAAATGTTCATTTTTGGACTGGTGTTGAAATTTTGATATAAAAACTTCTTTGTGAAAACTAAAAGTGAAAAAAGTCGCCATGTGCTAAAGGGATGAAAAAAGTGATAGATTCCACAAAGGATTGGACATTAAACAAGGATTAATGGAATTTATATAATTTATAAAGGAATATGTATAACCATTGAAGCGTGAAAAATCGAAAATGAACCAAAAATATTAATTATTTGTATGATATTTTGTTGCAATTTGATTACCATAAAATATATATTTTAATACACACAAATTTGTATGAAAAACTTGAATATAATCTCAGTTTTTTGTGTGCCACCAAAAACAAAAATTTCCGCATTCAAAGTGAAGTCAGCAGAAAATGTTTTTTTGGGGGGTATTTTCCTTGCTTGTGTGTTATCTTATGGTGGAAAAGCACACAGAAAACACACACACACACACACACACACACACACAAACACACAAAATGATGGAAAATAGAGGCGAAGAAGAAAAGTGGAAAAACGAAAGACTTAAGGCACAAACTTGAGCGCAATGCCGCATGAAGCATGAAACGGGATATGGTTGATAGATAGGGTCTATCTACTCTTTGGATTATAGGGTATATACCCGGATGATAGGGTATCCTATGCCAGAATTTTTTACAAACATAAATGGCAATCCATAGAGCACTATTTTGTCCACTGTTTGTATTTCTACAACAACAAAAAATACAGAAAATAAAGTGGGGAGTGGGGAGTGCCGGGGATATTGGGAAATGCAAAATATCTACCTCTCCGTTCCTCTCTCTTTCTGTCAATCAATTTGGCCAAGGAAATTCAATTAAATGAAGGCACGCAATCGATTAGGAGATATCTAATGTCTTTACATGGCTGATCGTTAGGGAAATTGTTTTGGGAATCAGGAAAATAATTTGGTAGCCCAAACGATGATGCCTAGAGGGGGATAATTTGGGTAAATTGCTGAAACCACAAGCATTTCTGGGCAGATAAATGCCAAATGCCTTAAGCATGTACAACTCTCCTCAATTGAGTAATTTCTCAAATGAAACACACATTTCTTCCCCTACTTGCCATAATTCATATACTTTTCACACTCCTAGCCCCATTATAAAGACAATTATTACCATGCAACCATCTATAATTACACAAAACACAGCAGCAAAAAAATGACACACAAAACGCTAACCCACAGAAAACTCGAATAAGAAGTAAAAGCCATGTGTTACCTCAAACAGAGAAATGTCAGAGAAAGAGACGGCACAGCAGTAGCAAAAAAAAATTATAATCAAAGAAAGAGACGACTTCCATGCCATGCAATGGGGACAACTAAAATTAGTATAAAAACAAAACCAAAAGACGAAAATCATTCATGTGCGGAAAAACCGGCAACATTGTGGTGTCCAGAGTTTTAGAGATGGGGCGTTGATTTTTTCATTGATTTATAGATGATGGTATTTTGTACCGTGATTCCCAAAATCATCTTGATTGGATCATTATAGCAGCTGAAAATAACTAAAACAGCTTTGGTTTCCCTTATATCTGAGATATGGCTTTGATTTTTTATAGAGTTATAGATGATGTTACTATCTACCATAATTCCAAAAATCAGCTTAATGGGATCATTTTTGTATGAAACTAAATTAGTTGCGGTTTCAATATTTTGCGAGATATTATGTCCAATTTTTGTGAAGTGATATATGATACTATTATCCAATCCTATTCAAAATTTCATCTTGTTTGGACAACTATAAGAGCTGAAATAAGAAAAGCAAGTGACCATGCATTCCTTATTTATTCCGAAGAGCAAAGCAAACTGTTTTCCGCTCGTTATAACATTTTCAAGCCCTATTAATTCGGGTTTAAACACTTTCTACATGAGCCAATCTTAAAAGAAACTCTGCTTCCCCTTTCAAAGTTTTCCACCCACTTTCTTGGCGAAACTTCCCAAAGAATTCAATTATATTCCACTTGCAGCACAAAAGGTGAATGAGGTTAAGCTCAGTCCGCGAAGAGCTGTTGTTGGGTGCTGTATGCTTTTGCTGCTGGGGCAACAGTGGCGCACCACTGTTGCAGCTTGACCGAAATGATTGTGTTGTGCCATTATATAAGAAGTGGCCATGCCACAAAAAAGCCTGGCCCGGAGAAAGAGAAAGACAACACTGAAAGACACGCCGCGAAAAGAGAGAAGGAAGCAAGCCGTCAGAGCCGCAAAGAGAGCGGGTCTTCGTTTTGGCGGAGAGGCGGTGCACGAGCCACATGTTGCACGAACTAAATACCCACTAACACTGCAGCAACACTCCGATTCGATTCGATCCGATCGATCGCAACTGTGTGTCTTAGTTAGTGACTTGGCCGATATGCTTGGCCTGTTAAATAAGCCGTTAAACTGCATCAAGGTAACAGAAAACGTGTTGGCCAGGGCTTGTTGGCTCAAAAGGGGGCGTGCCCGTTGTACACTTACTTTTTACGAGCCGCATATTACTCAGTCGAACATTCTGGCGTGCTGAGAAAGACCCACCTCCAGTTTTCGGGGGCACCACACACCCTCCACTCTCCACCATCCACCCTCCACACACCACACTTCTAAGCAGCTCAGGGCCGCTCCATTGCAAACATTGCGAAAAGACTCTTTGGCAAATAAAATGCGGTGCTTGCATACGAGAAAATTCGTATAAAATACATCAATAAACCATATAGACAATTTTTTGGAACCACTTTACAACGTCAGCAGCAGTGGCAGCAGCGGCGGCGGTAGCCCCCGTTAACCAGTTGCTGGCAGCAACCTTGATGACGAGTGGCGTCTTCTCTGTGACTGAGGTTTTTTGGCGGCTTTTTTTTTGTTGATTAATTAATTTTGGGTTTTTTCTGATCATTTTTGATTTGTGAAGTTTTTTCTCAGGGGAAAAATATTGTTGGAGGAAATTAAGCATGGGAAATTAATATTTTATTGGTGAGAATTTTACAAGATTTTTGAAGATGCTGTAGGAAGAAAAAGACTCTTCTAAAAAAAAAAAAAATAATAAATAATAAAAATAAAATAATATTAATAAATAATAATAATAGATAAATAAATACCAATAAATAATAAAAAAAATTAATAAATAAATACCAATAAATAATAATAATAAATAAAAATTCGATTTGTGATGTAAAGATAAAGACTATCTACAGATTGAATGGTATATGAAAAGTGATAAAAATATTCCGACTGGGACATATATTCTTTGAAATGAAAGTGAAGAATATTATCTATATTGGAAACAAATGGGATTTCTTCAGATATGATTGAATTTATTCCTGTAGCTCATATTAGATGATTTTTATATGGTACGAGTGAGTTGTATAGGAAATAGCAAAGAAAGTTCGAAAGTAGGGAACGGACGGGGTCCCTATTTCTTTTCCTTTTTTCGCACATGTTTCCCCCGAAATGTTTCAATGGTTTTCCCCGAAACGCTTCAATGTTTTTCCCCACCTCTGAGGCACTTTGCAAACACTCAGCCATTAAAACTATTTTCATTTTATTAATCTTTTAGTAAGGTTGAACCCTCAGGGCAATAATTGTTTAAGCCTCTCTCTCAATTTCGGCTAAATAAAAAAAAATTACAGCTTTATAAAGAAATACTCGTATATGTATAAAAATAAACACACACCTGGACATCAGGTTGAACAAAAATTGTGTTGTCCTTTTGCGTCATCGGCTGCAATGTTAAGCAAACAGCAGCAAGCGAAAGATATACCAGAAATACCAACAAAAAGGCAGGCAGGCATTCGGGCCGGGCAGAAACGTTAACAACATTAAGTTATGGCCACGATTGTTGGTGTGTTACTAACCTTACTCAATTTTTGTGTTTATTTTTATTTTTTTGCTTTTTTTCGGGGCTTTTAACTTTCGAACGAACGCGTTTTTATTATGGGGCTGTGTGTGTTTTTGTTGTTTTGCCGGCGCATTTGATTATGTATCTATGAGATACCGACATCGATACAGATACAGATATGTGAGAGAGCTAAACAGATAAATAGATACGAATGCAATGAAGTTGCTTGCTTATTTTTGGGGCTTGAGAGACTAAAACATGAGTCGGCACTCTAAGTGGGTCAAAGTCTGATTAGCAAGGTCACACACGAGAAATACATACTATATCGTATACGGGAATTTTTGAGATTGCAAACGAGAAAGAGAGGCAGAAAGATAAAGAGGGAGGGAGTCAATAAAATAATAATATTCATAATAATAAATTGTTTAAATAAATCTAGGAATTAACATTGAATGAAAGGCAAGGCAAGGTAAGTATGAGATCATGATGGGGAGCCATAAAGGGAAGGGATATTAGTCAGTTATGAATGGGACAGGTTTTGGGTAACATTTAGAGGGTCTTTAAGGAGAATTTTAAAGGCAATTAAACTCTTGACAAATTCGGCCTCTAGTAAAAGTCTTGGGGAGTCTATAATTTTCAAGATACGATACTGAAACTTCACAGAGTTCCAAATAACGATAATCGTTACCTAAATGCCCAAAATCATCAAAATCGGATAATAATTACCGGGTTAGGATTACGTTGAAACCTGGTATTCCTCTTCCTCCGCAAAACATCCAAAGCCTTCAAAGAACACCAAAACGCTTTCCGTTAATTTAAATACAAAATCCGTAAACAAAACCTTTGAAAACCAAACGCTTTCGTGTGCTCTGGGAATAACCAATAAAAGAGGTCACCAAACGAATACATTTTTCCATTCGTCACATGCTTCTTCACCCACTCTATAGTACCGCCACCTGATGCATATTGACAGTCATATAACTATTTACGATTCTTCTCACACTTTTTTTGGAGAGCCAGCAGCAGCCGCCACTGACGCATTCATCAGATACACGAGTTACATTTTGCAGCAGCAGCAGCGGCAGCGGCTCTTTACAGTCCACTTCCAAGGTGTTTGCTTATTCAGAATGCATTATTTCTGACGTTGAGATATAGGTACTAAGCACACAGATATTCTATATAGTATAGCCCCTCCACTTATTATTCAAGACGTTTCTGTGTCTCTCCCCCCGCCCCTCCAAATCAGATGTCACTGTGATTGTTCCGCGTGTGTCTGTCTGTCTGTCTGTCTGTCTGCCTGTCCCTCTCAAGTCTCAATTTACAATTTACATTCATCCGGAAAAAAAAAACCTGACCAGAGGTAAAGTTCTACCTCTCAAAAAAACACTTTTCCCTTGTGTTCAAGTCGGAACGAAACCCTTTTGTTTCATCATTTACTAGACGCTGTAAAGTGGAAAAATAACTAACTTTAAAGATGATTCATTATTGTCTTTAGCTAAATATTTTCGTATTCTAATATCAACCTTTTCACCCGGTTTTAATGAAGTTGTTTAATGTGTTTTTTAAGGCTTCGAACAGACGAAACCTCATAAAAACCGTGTATATTTTCCAGCAAATCTTTTGGGTTTTTCTCTACTGGTTTTCTCCAACCTTTTCTCCTACTGTATCGCATCTTAATAGAGCAATTTCCTAATCAATCTTTGCCACAAAAACACTTTGAGTCATGCAACAATACGGACGGAACTCTAGAAAATCGTAACTTTTATGAGGAATATTCTCTAATAATCTTCACAAATTGTATCTGCCAAATCTGTTTGGTCATGAAAGGTTCTCCTCATACATGGGAGTGTATATGTATCTTATTCTCTATGTACGTATCTTCTTCGCCCAGAAAGAGGTTATTGAACTGCCAAGACTTCCACTTTAGTTGGCCGATAGAATTTACAGAGATTTTTGTTTCACTTTCAGTCAAGCGGTGGGTTGGTTAATTAGCGCTTTGGGTACTCCGTAGCACTCCTACACATAGCACCCATTGATGCCACACATAGCATCTGTATCTTAAATGAAATCCGAAATAAATTATGGATCGGACAAGTGCTTTGAGCAGAACGGCACGTGTATGTCATAAAGAGGCAACAGAGGCAGCAAATCAATAAAATACATAACCAAATCAAGAAAATGAGCAGGAGAATGAGAATTCTGTTGACGCAAGTGATTTATGAGGATTATATCAGAGGCGTAGCGGAAAAAATGGGCGATCTTTAAGAATAAGCTAGACACCATAGATGGGCGGCCTATTAAACCACTTTTCCACTAGGGAGCATTTTCCACTGTGAATGACGTTGATTTGCGTTACAAATGTTCGCCTAAGCGAAAGGATACATTCATTTCGAATAAAACGAACAGAGGACCATTCACCACAAGCAGTAGGGGATTTTCTTAAAATATGTATATATAAACCCCAAAATTAGTAAAACACAACAAATAAATATAATAAATAATTCATAAATAAATTAATTAATTAATAATTTTAAAAAATTAAAAGAAAAAACAAGTAGAAATACAAATTATTAAATAAATAAAACTAAACTAAAAATAAAAAAAAAAAAACAAAAACTAAAAAAATTTAAAAATTTAAATTATAATTAATCAGCTTAAAAAATGCACCTTCGCAAACATCGTATAAAAGGAAGATTCCCATTGAATGGGAATCGCAAATCAAAAGCGTATTCCTTGCATTCAACATTCAAAACACCCCCTCGACGCGCTGTCCCTGTCTATAAAAACTGATTTATACCCAATGGATAATTAAATAATTCTATAATTTTCATTAATTATTCCACAGAAAAACATAAGCGAGAACTCTCAAGATGGCGGCCGTGGAAGTGAGGAATGGCTATAAGTACTATGGCTCCAAATCGAACCCCAAGATTGTGCTCAATCAACTGAATATGAACGTGATGCGTGGCTCCATGTGAGTGGCATACGAAATTCCGACTCGAGTTCGACAGATACTTATACATTCAAGAACTTTCTTCCGATAGCTACGGGTTGCTAGGTGCCTCGGGCTGTGGCAAGACCACACTTCTCTCCTGCCTTGTTGGCCAGCGGCGTCTCAATGGCGGCGAGATAAACGTGTTGGGCGTAAAGCCGGGCTCTCCTGGCAGCGGCGTCCCCGGCTCTCGTGTGGGCTTCATGCCCCAGGAGATCGCTTTGGTCGCGGAGATGACCGTCAAGGAAACGATCTTTTACTTTGGTCGGATATACGGCCTGACGGATGAGCGGATTCGTGAGAAATTCAAGCTCTTAAAGGAGTTGCTGCAGCTCCCGCCAGCCCGACAAATGATCAAACAATGCAGTGGGGGACAACAGAGGCGTTTGTCCTTTGCCTGCGCCATGATCCACGACCCGGAGCTCCTCATTTTAGATGAGCCCACAGTGGGCTTGGATCCCATGTTGCGTGAGAAGTAAGTGGCGGATGGAAGCCGATCATTTCGGAGAGATTAACCATTGAATTTCCTCTTAGAATCTGGGATTTTCTTGTGGAGACAACCAGAAATAGCAAATTGGCTGTGATCATAACCACACATTACATAGAAGAGGCCAAGCAGGCAAATTGTGTAAGGAAAACCTCACTTCTTTCTGGTATAAAACATCTCCTAAAACACTTCCTTCTCCCACAGATTGGCCTCATGCGCAATGGCGTTCTCTTGGCGGAGGACACACCCACAAATATCATGATTCAATTCGGCACACAGTCCATTGAAGACGCCTTTCTTATACTAAGCCAACGGCAGGGCAATGAGGATGAGTTGGCCCAAATAATGGACCACAATAAGAATCAGCAGCAGGCCCTGCCAACAGCTGTGCTACCCACAGAAGTGATAGATACCCATGATCCTGGCCTGAGCCTGGAGAAGCCGCCCATTCCCTACGACGAGCCGGTGAATGAGAATCGAAAGAAGGTGTTTTTCACGACCAAAGGACGGCTCAAGGCTTTGATGACCAAGAATTTCGTGCAGCTTTTCCGACAGCCATCGTAAGTGGTAGAAAAATCGCCTCAATCGCCGTCCCCCCTTTAAACGTATCCTCTTTTTTAGGGGCATCATTTTCATGCTTTTGTTTCCCATCATCCAATTGTCTTGCTTTTATTTGGCCATCGGCAAAACCCCAAAGAATCTCGAATTGGGGATATACTCGGGCGAGGTCAAAAGCTATTCGGAGTGCTTCGACGACAGTCTGGTCACCGTTTACGATTCGAACGACACGTGCAAGTTCCACAAGCTCTCCTGTCGGTTCATCCGAGAGTTGGGCGACGATGTGGCCACGAGGAAGTACTATACCAGCGAATCGGATGCCTTGAGGGATGCCAAAAAGATTCTCACCGTGGGCTACATTCATTTCTTCCACAACTTTAGTGAATCGATATCATCGGTCCTCGAAGACGGACGCCATGCCAGCGATGGGGCTGTGGACCATGCGGAACTGAGTGTTCACATCGATATGACAGGTGGGAGACCTGCGATTAGGCTGCGATTTCGTATCCTTAATTGAGATATTCTTTCGTCTGTTTGCAGATCAACAAGTGGCATATTTTATTCAACGCAAACTCCGTGATAAATTCGCTTCGTTCATGAGTAGCGTGGTCAAGGACTGTAATGCCTCGGCCGCTCTGGTGCAATTGCCCGTTCAGTTCCAGGAACCCATTTACGGCACTGCAGACATTGAGTTCCAGCAGTATTGTGCCCCCGGTGTTGTAATGACGTGAGTAGGGAACCAGTACGGTCTGCCGATCATTTCCTGGACTCCTTTTCTAATGTTTCAACTTTCTGTAATTCATAATTGCATTTTTCCATTGGTTTCTGCTATCCCAAGTATTCAGAGGGGGCTTTTTGGAACTAAAAGAAGGCACGATTGAAGATCCCTCTGATCTTTTCTTTTAGCCACAAAAAACCCTTCTTAAATCTATTCGTTCAATGCCTCAACTATCCTTAAATCCCACCCCATAGCATGGTCTTCTTTTTGGCCACTTTGATGACGGCTGCTGTTTTCATATCCGAGCGCATGGATGGTATCTGGGATCGCACTCTGTTGGCTGGTGTTTCGGCCACTGAAATGCTGTGGGCCCATCTTCTGACCCAACTGATAATCATGGCCCTGCAATCGTTTGAGGTTATCATGTACATTGGCATTGTTTTCGATACCTACAACAATGGAGATACAACGACACTGATTGGACTGCTCACACTGACGGCATTCTGTGGCATGTTGTTTGGTAAGCAAAAATATATTATAAATTTTGGCCTCACTTTATTTAATTTCTCTATTTTTTGAAGGCCTCTTCATCTCCGTATTTTGCAAATCCCATACGGAGGCCAATTTTGTGGCCACTGGGGCCTTCTATCCCATGATTATACTTTGCGGTAAGTAAATGTAATTTCTTTTCCAAATTATCACATTTCAAACAATTTTGATTTGTATTTTTAGGCCTATTGTGGCCCCTGGAGAGCATGCCACAGTTTCTGCAGGATCTGGTGATGGTATTACCCTTTACCATACCCTCCATATCTGCACGAAATGTCATCGAAAAGGGCTGGTCCATCACCAATGCCAAGGTCTACAATGGTTTCCTTGTGATGGCCGGCTGGACGATCATCTTCTTCGTCCTCTGCCTCATTGGCATCAGGCGCAAGGCGTAGGGCGTAGGGCGTTGGGCGTTTCTTTTTGGGTTTTAATATACACAATTTATTCAGGGGGGCCCTTCACTTTAGATCGTATTGTATTAGCATTTCTTCATAGGCGATTTTACACACACACACCACTCACACCACACACACACAAACACACACATATCGTATCGTTGTAGTATCTATGTAATTTAATAATTATCGGAAGCATATCACTCGCATATCATATGTTGTAGACCTCTCATCAAAAAAAAAAAACAAAAAACAAAACAAAACAGAAGAAAACTTTCATACCAACGAAATGCAACGCTTTTATTGTGCTAAAAGTGTGTTAGAATGTACTAAAAAAAAACAGTCGTAATAAGGTCTAAAGGTGTCTCACAAAAATATTTATACTACACTGCACAACAAAAATCGTATTCATTAAAAAAAGGAACAACAAAACCAATCAAATTTCATATAAAAATCTATTGTGACATGTACTAAACTTTAGTACTGGGAAGAATAATGATTGCTAACGAAATGTTCACATTTATTAGTAATTTTTGCAAAAAGGAATTTAGAAAAAAAAACCTACGAATCTATGTACTAAATTATAGTGTACTAAAATGTATAATTATTTAAATGGAAATTTTAAATCAACCAAAAATACAAATCTAAATAAATTGAGCTAAAAATTTACTTTTTGTGGGTAGTACTAAATTTTAGTACACATTTTATTTGTAATTTTAAATTAAGCTAACCGTTTTCAATTGTGCTAAATTGAGTACATATTTTATTTTCAGTTTTGGGCTTCAGAATAACAAATCTGTACAAATTTAAATGCAAATATTTTTGTTCGAGTGTACTAAAATTTATTACATTTTTATTTAAAGCGAAGAAAGCATTAAAGGTAATTTAGTCCAATATAAATATGGTTATAAACCTATTGTATTGGGGCTAAAATTGTACTAAAATTGTTTGATTAGCATAAACATGAACTAAAAGTAAGTTTTAAAGATTTGTTTGGTAAAGTAGAATTTAAATGACTTGCTAATTAGTTGAACAGCTCCATTTCAACAGTTAATTTGTACTAATTGAAGCATTTACACCACGTAATATATTCACGTTCCAACCATGATCTCGAAGGACCAAAACTTCCCTTTTCAAGCAGAGAACGCTTTAAATGCTTAATTAACTTTGCAAGTCCCAACTAAAAGTTAACCAAAGAGTAAACTCCACAAAGGAATAGAGAGAAAAAGCCATTTAATGCCCCGCCCACCCACAGTGTCAACAAGTTTTCTCAATATTTGTCTTCATATGAAATTCAAAGCAGCGCAAAACTAAAGCGAAAGTTCCTTAAACATTCTGCCCCCCCTTAAAAAAAACACACAGATATATATATATATATATATATGCATCATATATATCTTATATATATATATAAAATAGTCTCTGGTTCTGTCTGTGTGTGGGCCAAGGACAAGGACACGTTCACGACGCCGACGACGACGATGTCGAGGACGTGGCAAAGTTGCTGACACACTTCGGGCCTTAAAAGTGCTAGACAGAAAGTCTGCTCCGGTTGGCTGGGTTTTCCCGTAGTCCCCCATCTGGGGCTGGGGGCTGGGGGCTGCCCACTGCTCCCGCCGCCCCTCCCGCCGGCTGTCTGCCAGCAGACATTTTTATTACAAAACTTTATCTTTGCCAAATACGAGACCAACGTCGACGACGACGACTACGACGACGACGAGAAGGAGAAAAATATATATAAAAAGCCAATGGTTCTGAGAGTGTGTGGCGTATCTGTGCGTCTGTGCGTCTGTGTGTGTGTGTGTGTGTGTGTGTGTCTGCCTGATGGTTGGGTGGGTGGCTGTGTGGGCTGGGTGCCAAAGTGTCGTTTGGCATTTTATATAACTTGCATAAAATGTGCAAAGCTGGAAAATTGTTGTTGGGCAGAAAGTGTGCGTAAAAGTTGAAGGAGTACTCGTTGCCGCCCTCTACTTGTTGCCGCCCAGAAAGGGAATATTTTAAGGGTTTTACGGATGCAAATTGCTGGATGTAAGTGAGAGCCAGAAGTTAAAGTTAGTTTTTGGTCATGAAATTGATGCAGAAATCAGGTTTGAAGGAGAGATACATGTGCAAAAGAATGGTAAAGAGCGTGTAAGAGAGAATAAATGGAATTACGAGTGCTGGGAGGTTTTAAAATGGAAAAGCGAACCATTTTCTATGTTTAATATTCATACAAAAGTTCTTCAAATCTTTGTAGCTGAGTAAGTGGCGAATTTGATAGCTTTTTTCATCCCTCAGGTGTGTATTTTTCTTAGATCCATTCTTAGTAGGCGCCTAAATTTACTATTTAGATTATTTTTCCCCGAGGTTCATACTGTATATCGGTATTATATCGGGATAATATCGATTAAATCAATTTTTCCTTCCATAAAAACCTCTAATATCTACCTAAATTCCTTCATCCTTCGTGGTTTCTACAAACTTAAATGAATATTCATTTTCATTCACATTAATTTATGCACAATTTGCGCCAGAGAAATTCCGTAGCTTAATCTCTGGTCTGCCACACAAACACAAGCATGAAAACTATCTCCAGGGTATACCGGGGACAGACGGCAGGCAGACAAACAAACAAGCAGAGTTTTCCATGTTTTCCAGAGTTTTCCCCATCAGTGGGTCAAGTTTTTCCAACCCAAAATGTAGGCAAATGGCAAAAGTTTTCCTCGAGTCTCGTTCTCGGCATCGGTGTGTCTCGACTATAAAAACACAATTTTGTGGCCAACAAAAAGTGAAAATTCTATGACCTTTTGCAACAATTTAAAAGCAACAAACAATAAAAACAAATTTTTGGGGGGGAGACAGAAGGTCAATCCCCCCCATGTGCCAAGCCCTTTTCGACTGGTCTAAAGAGAAAATTTCGTTACAACTTTTGCTCCATTTCGTGCATATATAAAATTTTCCCAGGAAAAGCGAGCGGGCGAGAGAGAGAGAGCGAGCGAGACAGGAATTGGAGTTTGAAAAGTTGGATACAATTTTGTGGCTTGCTTTCGTAATTTGACCTTCAAACAAGTTGAACAAACTCAAGCACAAACAACACACAGACACACACATACAGGAAGCACACTGTGCAGACAGACACAGATACAGATACAACACAGGGACAGATACATTCGTACACTCCGAGTTGGAGACAGACAGGAAACGTAATACTCGTGCTCTCCTGGCGAAAAGTGTAATATTTAAACGTAATTTTAATGAAGGTAAATGTGTGTGCTTTGTTTGCGTTTTGTCTTTACATTTGGGGGCTTCCCCAAAAATCTCTGTCTCTGTGTGTGTCTACATCTCACTCTGTTTGTGTTTGTATCTGTATCTGTGTGTGTGCGTGTGTGTGCTGAGACTTTGCCTTGAACTCCGGCATCCTGTATCCTGTTTACAGCTTTAACCAGTCCTCGTTTCGGGTTGATTGACTAAAGGTGTTTTCTAAAGCGAAAATTGTGTGTGGCCTGGCCATTCGGTAGAGGATTTTCAAGGTGTGGCAACAAAGGAAAGTTCAGAGAATGAAAATAGATGATTTGCAGGGTTAAAGGTGAATGTACTTGAGGAATACGTTTATATTTAAGAGGTTTAAGCGAAATATCTACATAAATCTTCTGAAAACTCCTATTCTTAATAATAATTCTAAATAATAATAATTTATATCTGAAACATATCATAATTCTATTTTTAGATGCCTTTTCAGAGAAACACCTAAAACTTCTTAGAATTCCCCTAAAATTTCTCACTTATTTATTCATTTTATTGAGGTATCTAAAGTAACTATCATATCTATCTCCCTCTTTACTCTTTACTGGTCCTGTATCTAGGCCTTCCTTTGTATCCCCCTTTTCCCTAGAATTTTTAACCAAAAATTAAAGTTCAAACCAGAAGACCAGAAACGCTTTTCCTTGATCGACAAATAAATGTTGGCAACTAAATCAAAACAAATATAAATCTCCATCTGCTTTTTGAGGACCCCACCCATATTTTTAGGGAAAGATACAAGTGAAAAACCAGCTGGTCACCGGCCATGGGCCATTGGCCATCAAGCATAATGAAAGATGACACAATAGAGAGCACAATCTGAAGTTCTGCTGGCCAAAAAGGACTTTTGCATTTCATTGACCCTTTAAATGGCAAAGATACACAGATACAGATGACTCGGGACTCGGGAGTCAGCTTCCATAGCATCGCCTATATACCGATATACCGATATACCGGAGCATAAGTATAGGATGCGATATATGTACTCTTTGGGGGGGGGGGTTCTCTTGCAGCATGCCAGTCAAAGTTCTTCTTGCTGGGAGAAAAATTTGATTCGAGAGTTTATTCAATTTGCTGGCATGTGTATCGCCCCCGGAGGGTCCAGCAGCAGCAAGCAGCATCAGTAGCAGTAGCACATCCACAATCCACATGACGTTCAACCGATGTCTGATGGACAAGCAGAACAGAACGATAGAGGGAGGGAGAGTGGGGTGGGGGGGCTGCAGGTGGACTCCTCCTCGCTTTCGCTCTGAACTCTGCCAATATAATACAATCAACGTTGGGTCTTCGATTCGATGCGCATTCGATGCGTTTACCATTTTTGAGATGGGGCTGGGGGGGGCGTACGCACAGGCACAGGCACAGTCACACATACAACTACACTCTCTCACACAAACACGCATACGGGGGGGGGAGCACACTCTCTTTCGCTCTCTTACGAGTATATGCATTTGCCACATAGGCTCGTTTCATTCACTCGCCCAAGCTTTTTCTTCGATTTGCATTCGTCCGTCTCGCTCTTGCACTATGTACTGTTGCTCTGTGTCCTGCCGCACTGTACATGCAGCTTTTCGGTTGCGAGGGGCAGGCAGAGTGTCCTGGGGTCCTGGCCACACATGCGTTTGGCCTTTTGCCTGGCACACATAGGGGCAGTGGCAGCGACAGCGACAGCATCGCGGCGCTGCTTTATATGGCGCAACTGCTGATTGGGTTCGCACAGTGGAACGAAACGTGGGATATAGGGAAGGGCTGTCTTACCTGGAACGGGAGTGGAGAAAGTTTGGAAGAACATTAGTTATGGATAATTAAGAAAAATATAGAAACATGGAATTGAGAAATATTTTAATTTTTTTATTTAAATTATATTAATTATTCTTCTAGTATATAAATTCAATTAATTTTCATTCAATATTATTTTGTCGCCTCTCAACGCGTTTCGTTCCACTGTGCACAAAAGGCAATGCAAAAATTACGCCAGCCAATGCAGCGACCGAAAAAACAACAACAGCAATATATGCGTGGAGGAGGAGAGTAGGTGGGTGACAGAGAGAGCGAGAGAGACG